AAAAAAAAAAATTAATTTGTAAAATTAGCAAAAATTTCATCTTTGGAACGTATATACGTTTAGAACTGAACCAAAAAATTTGGAAACTCACAATTTTTCAGTACTGAATAATAGACGTTATCCAAGCCTAAAAACAAATAAAATTACTTCATAATGAAATCCCAATGGCAAGCCTCTGATTGGACTTCTTATGTTAGATAAAAAATTAAATTTGTCACTCGGGAAACTTCCATAAAAATTTTGTTAATTTAAGCAGAAGTACTGCTTAATCTGTTTTACTGAATTCACTGAAAAATAAAGAGGAGAATAATAAACATTCATCGATACACATATTATATCACATTTTCACTATTATTCTATCGCACAATGTTATCTCATTCTTTCATCAATGAATTATTCGAATTCCAAAAGGATTGAATTTATCTGCATGCATGCTGGAAACTCGTCACTTAAACCTTACACAATGCTTTGCGGAACTATTTTGCAAAGCTGCAGAACGAATAAGAATACCTTCAATAACAAAAGAAGATACCCACGTAGAAACCAAAGATTTTGCTGCGATAAATCTTTCAAGGGTAATTTGATTATGTCCTTAAGATTCATTGAACATATATGGATATGTATATATCCAGCAAAACTTAACTGAAGAGAATTTACGTACCAATAATCATTAGTCTGAGATACACTTAATTAATACTTAGTATTTTATGCTAAAGAGCAAGTAGATGAATATGTGTAATACTTGAAGTTTATCAAGTTGTGTTGTAAATGTAAATTATCAAAAGACAATTAACATTCTTGCGCAAAGATTTAAATAGCTGTTCTGGAAAGAATTCCGGATTGCGATTGAAAAAGAATAAAACATACTGTCAATGATCAACATAGCGATTTTGATTTAAAAAAAAAAAAAAAAAAGAAGAAAGAAAAAAAAGAACATATAGCTATTATTTCTAAAAATAGCTAATGCAGCTTTGCCCTATGTCTTCGTACCATTTCGTCAAACAGATAATATAACAGTGTTTCTGTGTTTGTGTATGTGTGTGTATGCGTCTCTGCAAGTTAATCATATATAATAATAATCTAAAATACATACGTTTATACCTTCATAGACGGCGCATAATAGAATCGTTACATGTTATCTTATATCATGAATCATGTTTCACAGCAGACGCACCCGCGTCTTTCATACTCAAAGTTCTTTTATACTTGTACAATAGTTTTTACTTGTTTCTTTTTTTTTCCTCTCTCTCTCTCTCTCTCTCTCTCTTCCATCTACTGAAAAACTGAAGACGCTGGTGCCCCGTGTTTTAGTTGCAATATTGTGTTGTATCGTTCTTAAGAGATTGTATTATCGCGCAGTTATAAACACTTCTGTTTTCCTTTTCTTTTCAAACGAACAGCTTGATATCGCATACAAGAGAAAAAAAATACATCCTTAGATCCAAGAATGAGGGGGAACGATAATATCGTACCTGTCTCTTTGCTTTTTTTTTTCTTTTTCTTTAGGAGCTGGTTACCGTTTGCGTCGGTTTGTTGGTCTTTAGGTATCAGGCTTGGACGTTTAATATCATCTTCAGATGATTTGAAATATCGCAACTCCTGTCGGATTGTTGACAACTGCTCATCAGTCTGGTAGTCCAGTGGCTCGGTGGTTTCGGAAGGCTCGCAGGAGATGGCGGTTCGGAAAACTTTGCACCCGCATAGAAACTGTTTGTTGGACTGCCGCGCGAGTAACGCAACGGTGAATCGCAGCGCAATGGCGAGTTTCTCGCGCCCTTCGACGAATTGTGCGGGCTGCAGCTTAATCTGCCGGTTGAACTTTTACCATGGGATCTTCCACCATTGTAGAAAAACGTCGACGATTTGATTGCACTCGAACGGTGATGATATCGTTCTACGCCGACATTCGGCGAACCCTGCCGATCTACTTTATTCTTCAATTTCGGTACCGAATTCGTCATGGTTCCCTTCTAATACTTTCGTCGTCTTTCCAATCATTCACAAAGTCAACCGACCCATCTGTAAAAATTAGAAAAATCGATAGAAATTGTACCGTCTATCAGCCCCTTGGGCACTTTCAAAAAAAAAAAAAAAATTCCACTAGCTGTAAATTGAAAATTTTCACATCACATATGTGGTGGTGTGGATGATGAAAATTTTCAACAGGTACGACGTGAATTATAAATAATATATATTATAAATTATATAAATTATATATAAATTAATTAATAATTAATAATATATATATTAATTAATAATTTATATTATAAATTATATAAATTATATAAATTTTCAATGTATGATCATAAATCAATGTATAGCATCCTGAAAAAAGGAAGGAAATACTTTATTTCATTTCATAGCAAAACAATTGGACAATGCGATACTCGAGGGTATCAAAATATTTCATGACCAAGTCATAAATATATTTTACATAAACTCAGTACTGTAATGTTTGACCTCGCTAATCGATAATAAAAGTAATATACAAAAGACGTTAACTTCTTGCCTTCCATCTTTTTCAAAAAAAATATCACTCGTACATACTTGCTGCTTCGATGCTACATTTAAAACAAAACATTGAAATATTAGTATAGTTTCTTTCCAATCGCGATTTTTTAATTATAAAAATAAATTAAAGCATTAAATACTTTCTGGTGTTAGTACAAAATTTTTAACTGCAGGACATGACAGTTCTCAATATAATATATATAAAATAAAATATAATGTATTGACTAAATATAATGCTGTGACACTAATACAAATATAGTTTCCTTTTGTTATACACAAATATTAGAGTTGTGATTCATGAGATACCTGAATAAACAAAAATTATTGTCTTGTCATCCAGGTGCACAAGAGAGTTGAGACTACATATCTATTATTTCTACTCATGTTACAAAAGTATCACTCAAAAGTCAACATTATAATTTATGTTTCAGCAATAAATAATAAAACAGCAAAGTAATTACTTTAAATTAGTTTTTGTATACAAATACTAAGAAGTCTTTTTTTTCTAGTAGACATGTCCGCCTCGAACTAACAATATTTTCAATTATAGAAAATACTGGATCAAAACTGACAAATATTTAACATACTGATGTACATAGATATTTTTTAGCACGTTAGATTTACTCATTTGAGATATATTTTTTCTCCACCATAGTGGATGGTGAAGAATCTACCATCTAGCGGACGTTAATATAACAATTACAATTTGCTTCATTATTATTTGTCACAAAAACATGAATTATTCGATATATCAGATTCAATGAGTCAAATAGTAATAACTCTAGCCATAATTATCTCGTATGGTACCCGGATATCTAGGTAATTTTGTTCTACCCGAGTATCTCATGGGTAGCCGGGTCTCCGAGCCTCTCACATACTCTGCTAAAGGTCTAATAGGCATATACTTGGCTCCTATCCACGCCACGAATATGTAAAGCAAAAAATTTATTACAAAGATTAATTTTATTATCACGATCATCGCAAATAAAATGTATATAATAATAATAATAAAACAGAGACGTTTCATGTTGCATCGAAACAGCAAAACAGCATCGGAGAGGAGAAGAAACCAATTAATATTGAATTTATGAAAACTTACCGTACGATGTCCGCGGGCCACTTTCCAAAGATGCAACCAGGTTTTCGGCGGTGTTTGTATTCAATGAATTTTCTAACTGCGCAATAATCTCGGGATCCAGGGCAAAAGGGTAGGGGGGAACACGGAGGAATAAACTTGGTGGGGTAACCTACGAACCTCCTTCTGAGCGCAATGCTACCTTGCCTCGCTTACTTTGAATTCTCCAACAGTCCTCCCTATTCGTGTTTTTTGCGAATTTGACCACATTCGGTGACCGTTGGTCACCTTTGCTTAAACCTTTTTGTTTCTTCCTCACCGAATAAAAATCACACGCGTCGTTCTCCCCGGAACTCTTTCTCTCTCTTTCTCTCACTCTCTCCCTCTCTCTCTCTCGCACGCACACTTCCTTTTTTTTCAACGCAGCTGGAGAGGCACAAGATGGCGGACACGAGTTATTTGTTTTCGCTACTCCACACGGATTTTTCACAATACGATCACCGTTCGACAGCGAAATTTTACGTATTCGTACCTCGCAACGCGCACGCGCGTGTACACGTATGTTCATAAAACGTAAAATATCTCGTACTTATTCTGCATATGTACGCGCACTTATACGACATTTATTCTATTTTAAAAACTGATATTTTATCATATCCGCTATCAGTAGCGCTCGTCAAATTTCTGCCTCTTCTCTTAGGATTTTTTTTTTACTTTCTCTTCACTTCCAAGGTTTTTTTTTTTCGTCACTTTCCCAACATTTAATGAAATCGGACAATGTAATCGAACTCGTAAATTATGTGCCTCCAAGCACGATCTCCTATTCTGACTCTTGCCCCTACCTTTCTGAAGATACAAGCCAACTTAAAGATTATGAGTACCCCTCCCACCAGTCAACCTGAACCAATATTTCACGGCATTGCCAGTCACGTGATTTTGTTCATCCAATCCCGTGGTTTCCATCTCGGATGTTTCCGCCTTTTTTCGTACGACACATTAAACTCCCCTTAACATTCTTTCAAAACTAAAAATTAAAAAGTTTTTCGACATTAAAAATAATTACGTAATTTTTGAGCTCGAATACTATAAGTTCTTGATATATTTTTGATTGAGTTTATTGAATAAACCAGTGTTGTGTATAACGATCGGAAAGTAAGAGGCGCCGATTGGTGGAATATAGCGAGGCACGCCACCTCGTGATTCTGAATGTAAGGAATGATTTTACACTTCTTGCTATTTCCTTTCTTGTTTGTCAAATTGCCTTCATTAAAATTGAATGAAAAATCTGCAGAATGTACAGTTTAAAACGTTCAAAAAAATATTTGAAAAAATACGTTAGAGAGGTTATAAATAAAAGAATGAATAATAGAGTCAGGAATTAGTCTCAAATGATTTTTGTATAACCTATTGAAAGTCAGATTTTAAATTTTGTGGAGTGGAAAAGGGAATATTTTCTCAAAGGCAATAGAAGGCAATTATAAATTTGAACAAACAAAATTGAACTTTGAAAGCTCAAAATTATTAATCTTTTCTCGATAATTGAAATCTGGTAGATTTCGATGATCGGAAATCGAAAATTTAAGTTCCATCTTTAGGAATTTTCCAATTCATAATCATACGTCATTTTCTGCATTATCGATATACCATTATCTTTTCAAACATATAAATTCATTAGGTGTGCTAGGTTAAATATATTTTAATCGGTCACCTCACAGCAACAGAAAACCCGTCGATTTAGTCACTGAACAATTATGTATAGTAAAAAATATTTTGGATCTTCTGAATCATCAAAATACTCATTGTAAATATGGTTGCTGAAATAACCTGCACGGACCAATCAGATTATGCGTAGACGGCAATATGGCGTCACACTAACCTGCCGAATACACTAAAAACATTTAATTTTGTAGTACAACTTCTAAATCAGTAGATTCCTAAGTTAAAATTTGCATTTTTGATCTCAATTCGTCGAAATCTATCAAATTATTGAAAAAGTTCACAATGTTTGATCTCTTGGAGTAAAGTTTAACCAAAAAAATATTTTTACGAACAAATGTACATTTGACTGTGCTTTAACCACTTGTTTTCGTCAGAGGACTTTTCTCCATGTTGTTTCACATTACTTTTTGTGATATAATGTAATAACATTGCTTTAGTAATATAATAAAACTATAAGAAAAAAACTGTAGTAAAATATATACATATATACATATATAGCTTTTAGTTTTTTTTTTATTATATACATATATGGCTATAGTGAAAAACATATACATATATACCTATATAGCTTTTAGGTGGAATCTAAAGTAACTCATGAAACAGAAACTGAAGGAGAAGTAATATACATGTGGTGGGGATCAGCATGTCCTCCCACCGTAGAGATCTTTTTGAACTTACTCAAGTCCACACATATCTGTATATATGCTGACGACGCGTTTACACAGAGTATAAATACTTAAATATCGAGGGAAACAAAAACAATTGTATTCTTTTGATGTCGATGGAAATTTATCGTGAATTATCAGTTAGAGTTTCAAAGATAAGCGACATTAAACGGAAAGGGAGAAAAATAAGGTAAAATTTTTATAAAATAAAACGCATTAAAACGCTGTGCGTCCATCATTCGAAGCTTTCCTCCGTCGATATAGGTGGATAACAAAGCGAATATTATGAGGCAAGCAAGTGGTGCCGCCATTAACCTACGGCGAAATAAACGAAGTACGTGAAAGCGTTTGACGTCAGTGATCAAGAACGCTGATAATCTTACGACGCAGATATTGTTACGTGGAATATCATAGAATACATCTTTGTTGGTTTACGGTCGAGATTAATTAAACATATGAACGTACTTGGTGGTTTATGGTTTAATACCTCGAGAATATCAGTAGGTCCATAATGGGCGGGGTCGTGGCTTGGGTCGAGTGAGAGACATGGAGCGACCTCAGTGTTCTCAGTGGTGAGCTGCACGGCCATCGCCGACCGTCGGTTTCGCCTAGCGTAACCAACGTATACTCTGCTATGACATCGCTCTGAAAATCCCAGATTATCCCAGTAAAAGGTAGGAGTTTTCCCTCCGAAATTTGGATGCGCGCTGTCTCTCTCTCTTTCTGTCTCTCTATTTCTCTCGTTCGCTCGACCCCTGTCTTTATTTTACCCCCTGATGGTGTGCTGTCCCTCGACATGTTCCATCGCTTTTTTGTAGATTTCCCAAATGCGTTTCTCCAATGACTGAATATACATATATATGAATATATATATATATATAT